TAATGTCCTAATAATAAGCTATGTCCGAGTAGACAGAAATAAAATTAAAAATAAGGACAGCAAGGCATTGTTAATTAAATAATTAATAAATCTCTCATGAGAAGCTTAGTACTTTCTTTCTTTCACTCATGCAATTAGTCAAGAAAGGAGTAAACAAAGCAATAAAATACTTAGCCGGCTCTACAGATAAGAGGTTCGTTTTGTCTAAAAGCCAAGGGGTGGACTTATAAATTTAACCTAACCTAATCTGTGCTTTCTTTCATACAGAATTGAAACATTTTTACAATAGTTGCCTTTAAAACTGTGCATTAGCATTTCTTAAAAATTTAAATTAAAGTTTATCAACCTGTAGTTTGGGGACTTCTTCAAAGTCTCAGTTACATCACGTGATGTCCCCAAACTTCAGCTAATTCTCCCGCGAGAAGATTAAGTTATCAGGAAACACGTCAGAGATGCGAAGCGTGGCCGAGATGAGTGAGTAATTACGTGACCGAATAGTACTGGCACATGTCACGTGACACATTGGAAGCGGACGCGGACGAAGAAGTTTTCGTCGCGGAGCGGCACAAAGCTTAAGCAATGGCGTCTTCGAACGGGTACACTCGGTAAGTAATCCGACAATTTTTTGTTTATAGCATATTTTATATCGATCATTTCAACAAATTATACGTGTTTTGGAAATATTCGAGTGAAATTAGTCTAGATTTAGTTAATTTTATGGAAGTAAACCTCTCAAATAGTCGTACCCCCTAAACTGTACAAGTGCCCCCGTTCCATTCTAAAAATATATATCTGTTTCTCTCTTCTAATCTAACTTTTCTTTTTCCTTTCCTTTTTAGTTACAAGTAGGTTTAAGTTAGAAATTAAGTATCTCTGTGTAACGCGAAAGTTCTTGCTCGACTGTGAATCGAAATAGGTGTTTTGTTCTTTTGTTTGAAGTAAGGAATCAGGAGGTCGGAATCAACAAGAACCTTTCCTGTATATGTTCACAAGAAAAAATAAAGCACGTCTTATTTGTTTTATTTACCCGTCTCTTTGTGAAAAATCAACCCTCACCACGTGCTTATTACAACAGCGGACTTATCGAATGTCCCGTGTATCGCTCTCGTTGAGTTATCGGAAGAGCTCAGAATAGGTCCCCTGATGCTATTCTCACTAAATTTCACAATGTGCCTCACTTACGTAAAAAGTTACCCACTAAAAAACTTCACCATCAAAACAAAAAATAGTAATCAAATCTAATCATTACAACACAAGCCAGTTAAATTACCACATATTGATACAAAAGGTAAACTTTCCCATGACATTTATAAATCATAGAGTGTATATAGTTGATTAATTTTGTTTATTTTTTAGTAACTGAATCATCACATGGAAACACAATTAGATTCTTCTGTGACAGATGCGAGAGCAGTTCATCAGCAGGAAATTCTTAAGTTTATTTAGTGAGGGATTCGGAACTTGTGTGGAGCCTCTCATTGCTACCATTCTTACTTAAAATGCATTACCAATGCATTTTTTGAAATATTTAATCAGCCATAACTTTTTCTCTGATTAGATATGAACCCATTACTAGTCTCCACCTTGTAGTCTCATTTAAGCTTGATTGAAAAATAATGTAATATCTGTAATATACCTTTGGAATTATTAATTTTAAAATAAATATTTTTATTTTGTCGTGTTATTAATTTGTTTAGAAATTATTAATATTATATATATATAATATTTATATATATTGGTGTTTTATTCTTAATTGACATCTGTGTCAATGGAACGTGCCATTGACTGCATAGTAATATGTAAGCAAAATATTAAGTTTTTGCCATTTTTTATTTTTAATAATTTTTTTTGTTCTGGCATTTATTCTACAAATTAAAATAGGAAATAATCGTAAACATAATTCATAAAGTCTTGTAATTAGTAATTCTTTTTGCTGTTCTAGAAAAACAGCTATAATCCTTTTGTGGTTTTGGCGTGGTGGTTGCTTTTATCTTTGGTCGGTGGAAGAAACGAACGAGACGAGATCGTAACAAAAACTAAACCTTTATTGTTCTTCTCGCGTACTAGGTACAGCACATGTCTCGACGACGCGGCTAACAAAGGACAACTGGTTTTCGACTGTCTTTGTGGGGTGAGTTCGAATTTATTCCAGGAAGTGGTGACTCATATGCCCGGGGGTAATTGCTTGTCTTTTACAACCGTTAAGGATACAGATGTGAAAGGCGGCGTTCGCCACACTTTATTAATAAAGCGTTAATAGGAGAAAATGAGCTAAATACAATCAAACGCCATCAACTGCCAAAAAATGGCTTATTACCGATTTTAAAGCATTGTGGCGTGACCATACTGTTATCGATAGATCATGATGGAAGTAAACTAATGCCTAAGACACTCGATCACGTGTTTTTCTATAAGCTAGCCAATCAGCCATTGAAAGAGTAGGCTAACGAAAATGACGAATGGTTGAAAATGGGACAATTTCACGACGTTGTGAAGCGCTGTTTTGTTCAAACAATTCTGTACTTTTTTTAAAAACTCTCCGCCCTGTTTGCACTAAGAAGGCCTCTTTTAGCAAGCCCATTATGGGTTCGGCCAGGCTCACAACGGGGCGACCGGGTGGTGAGGAACGAGGCCCGACATATCCGAACGGACCACCCCCCTGGGGAAGGTTCTAGATAGAATCCTCAGTGATAGAGTACTGTACCATTTAAAGTGGAGAGGAATGCTGCATCCACAACAATATGGATTCCTGCCGGACATGTCGACCTGCCGCGTATTACATCGGGCGGTTGATCTTGTTCGCCATAACCGCCAGCAGGGCCTCCACACGTCGCTCGTTTTGATAGACGTTGAGGGGGCTTTCGACAATAGAGAGGTTGAGGCGCACGTTTTAAACGTGTAAACGTGTACGTGTGACGTTCGGCGCCGCTTTCCCGTAAGCCTAAAAGTTTGACGATGGT